ATCTTCTAGCAAAACTGCAGTGGATATACTCGTAGTTCGAAAATGACGGAGTTTTAAGGTTTAGCTGGACAAAATATTTCCTTCCTCTTTTAGTGAATTGATTTCATGGATTAAATGCTATCCTCAGAGCCGATTTGTTCACGATTTCCTTCCGCTCCGCGCAAGAAATATAATGCTGAAAAAGTCGTAACATGTCAATTTAGGCAAGGCAGCCGCAAAATTTCCGCTAGTTAATTCCGTGCCTACTACAAGTGAGCATTAATGTAAGCTAGTTCAAAGGCGACATTAATGGGCGAAAGCAGGAATATTTCCCAGGATTGCCGATCATCGGCAATATATCATATATCGTGCAAGCAGTTGGCAGATGTTTGCTTGCATGATTGGCAATTTTCACAATTAGCTGCTGTAACTAGAGAATCATTTGAACGAAACAGTTGATTTTTACACTGATGGCTTCTCCTATAATTTATTTATGATCTTTAAAAATCGTTTTCCAGAAAATGTTCTGCAAAAGAAATAAATATGTAGAAAATGATCAATATATGACATTCCTTAATCCATTCATAATGCAATTGCTTAATTTCGAGTCTGTACTATTATTTGTTTCAAAGCTGGGACCGCAGAAATAGTAACGGAAAAATCAACAATTTGACAAAAAGCATGAAATTATCATAAATCAATCATTTCCATACATACCTGAAAAAATCACGGAATAAGTACTCATCGTAGTGTTCCAATCGCGCTTATACGCTTCCGCAAGTGCTATACTGATTCGAGCCCTTTGACACTTTTATACTACTTCCAATGACGTATTGGAAGTTGTTTTAAGTTGAGCTCAAGTTTTTGTAGCAATCAATGAGATCAGACCTGAAACATCCGTAAACGGGTTTTATGACTCTCAGTCGAAACCATTAGGAGATCGAAACTACTGGCATCGGAATAGAAACCACTGGAATCGAAAACGACTCCTACGAGATGAACAGATTCCTTCCGCAGTATCGTTCACTTGAAATAACTCGCTCAGAACTGACCATTTTGAAGCTGCTTGTGAATTGAACGTTTTAAAATCGAGCATTCATCGGACTTTGAAACGGCTACAATAGAACACTCGCATTTGTTACCCACACTTCTCAAGTGGCTAGAGAGATGCAAGGGCGAGACACCCTGAGAAGATTGTAGTAGGGATTCTCCGCGCCCTAACACTGAATACAGAGTATATATCAAGTCCGCATCTATTTATTATTGTTGTTTAAAACAACTTGAATTATTCGCATATTTTTGAGTGTCTAACTTCAGAAAGTCGGATAGAACTCACTCGGCTTACCGGCGTGGGTGAGTTTTGACTCCGTGCCATTCCAAAATGATTGTATTGTGTCGAGAAGTAACCAGAAGAAGTTAAATTGGCGCTTTCAGCATTCCCTAGTGGTCTTAGACATTTAAAAGGTTGATCTCTAAACGAACATGATCCAGATCGAGCTTATCGTGACGTAAGGGCACATCCTAACGGGGCACCGCCAAACGGATGGATTAGGCAAAGGAGTTGGATTTTATATACACCATTCGTTCACCTGGTCATACACGTTTTGACTTTTTCATAGCGGCAAAAATCGACGAAGTAAAAATAACAGTTTGAATATTATAATGCATGGTACCTGATATACTAGTAGTTATTGAAGTAGTGATTTCATTGTTTTTCCTCGCCAGCAATGCAGCAATGCCTAGTCAACAATAAGAACATTGCTATTAGTTACAATCAGAGCCGTCCTTTCCGCGTCCTTGTGAAAGTTCAAGTTATACATTTTTTAGGATACTTGTATGAAATTTCCTACACTGTTTTGATTGAACTCGGTTCTAGCTTTAGAAAATTTGCCTCTCCGGAGCTTCAAAGGTAAATTAGCTGTGTTTCTGAGCGGATTTTCACAGTCGAATGCTTTCGGTACAAGATTATTGGAATCTCGTGTAGCAATATTTTCTGGATCGCATCGTGAGAATTTCTATATTTGCGATGCTCTTTTAGAGGAGTTCCATTCTACCTGATGATGCATTAGTAACGGAATTCTGCGACATATATTCAAAACGGTTATGGATAATTTGGACAAAGGAGTGGGCATGTATCAACAAATCCACGTTGCTCAATTTGTCTGATGTGATATCCATAACCCCACATTATGATTCAATAAAAATAGTCCAGTCCAAAGAAAAAACACTGTGTTTTCTATTCCATTTTTATGTTGCATAAATGTCGGGGCACCCTTTACAGTCCTGAGGAATTTAGTAAACATTAGCTAAGGCTCGAAGTAGGAAAAGCAAGAGTCTTTGCCAATGTCTTAAACATATGCAGCATCTCCAACAGTTTTACATTTTGAGTATAAACTAGTCTGTCATCTTCTTTAAAGTTCATACTTTATTTCTTACAATTTATTCTCCACTATGACTGCACTAAAGCACCTCCACTGTTAATTTAAATAAAGTTGCAATCAATATACGTCAATGTTACTGTATTTCCATTAACCCTGTTTTTGTTGTAGGCGTATTTACCAACAAAACTGGTAAGTTTGATTGTAAAGCGTGAATTGTGCTCTGGTTTTGTAGCGTCATCATTATGCTAATGCTAAATCATCATACATCTAAATAACATTTTGGGTACACCATACATCATGTGTTTCACTTTTTGAGTATTCGTTATGATAAATAATTGTTGCTTTGTTTTTTATTTAATGTGGTGTGATGGTAACTTCTCGTCACAATGACCCAAGCTAATACAAGTCAATACCAGTGTGTAGAGAACAACGCAAAATAGCCGAAAAGGCGGCAATTATTGGCAGTTCAGAGGTCACCGATATAACTCATCTACTGGGTTCTAATGGTTAGTTTGCTTAAAATGGGTTATATCTAAGACTAATAATGATCCACTGCGAAGTAATAGCTTTCTGTTGGAACCGTAAAGATCTCAGTTTGCGTTTGAAGGTCCAATCAAAGGCTAAGAATTCTGGCGGCATAGTAGATAGTCTACTCGCCATTGAACAACTAAACATGCTGCTTTTGTCCGTCTGAGCACAGAGAGTCAATCATGGACAGGTGTTCCTGCTTATTATGATAGATCTTACCTCGGATAGAGGATAGTTGATACGCTCAGAACACCTATCCAGGGTTGGCTGTCAGTGGTCGGACGGATGTAAGCAGCACGCTTGGAATAAAATAAATGTTTGGACAGGCTTCAGCCCTGAATAAGTTTTTTTTTCATTTCTGTTACCATGACCAACCGCTTACACCGTTGTTTCATGATTTTAAACAATCCTAGGTACGCTGTAGGTTTAGTTTTGTGTATACAAATTTTTGTTCAACCAACGTTAATCACGTGTTCAGAAAAGTAGTTGCTTACGGTGTGATTCTGAACTTAGTTTCGACACTTGAAATCATTTAGGTCGTCGTCTAGCATAAAATTCGCCATGGCAAGTTTGACCTTTGCTTTTAACTGATCTCGATATCATCATACTCAACCATATAAAACTTTGTTTCATACCTTTTAGCAATCATCAGAATGGTATAGGTATAGCAACTGAAGACAGAGGACGGATTTCAAACAAGGGAATAAGGGTCTAGGTGCTACCGACCCAATGTTGCTTATCACAGAGGCACCTCCGTACTTAGTGTATTACTAATTGATCAATTCACCATGCTATCAGCCTTGACGTACTATGCAAAAGTTGTATAAACTAAATACAGCCTGAATAGGATCTGTTTATTTCCATTTATATGACCACAACAAACCATATTAGGTTGTTATGGTCATAGAATCATCGGTGTGTCATGCTTTTTATAGATCATCAGAATGGCATAGACCTATCATATTCCCTATAAAATATACATGATGTACAAGGTCGACCAGAGTAGCTAGAGATGTGAGATGCACAAACGACGGAGTGAGAGAGCGCTATATCTGAGAGAAACAATAATAGCCAACGAATGTAGAAGTACAGTCGACGCGCCAAGTTTTTTCACAGTAGGCAAACGACTGTTATTTGATTCTCTATGATGAAAGAAAGTTGAAATGTTGTTTTTCACTGCCTTTCACTGCAGTTTTAGAAGCAGTCGAAACCAATTCATTTGCCTAAAACTTTGAAGATTATCTATATTTTTTTTAATCAAAGACTATATGAATAGTTTAAGCTACTCTTGCTAAACATTTATACAATTTGGCAAATTCAGCTTGAGCTGTGACGTGATGTTTGCGGTGCAACCGGTTTTTCACAGCTTAAACTGACTTTGCCAGACTGTACATCCAAAATTCCGCTAGATTCCCCTTCTGCTTCGTCGCTCCGTTCTTCGACATCTTCATCTTCAGTTTCGGTCTCGAGAAAGTCGCTATCGCTGTCAACTGCATTTAAATGTATAACAACTTCGTCTACAACTCTATCAACAGCGGGCTCTTGCTGCATAAACTCTATCTCAATTTTTATTGCATTCTCGCACCTAGCGCACCATTCTTCGGGCGTAACGTTATTGAAAAACGCGTCGCACTATTTTGAAACGGTAGAAAACTTGAAATCGACATTTTGGCTGCTACGTAATACTTCATTGTTGCCCACACGAGTTCTATTGGATTTAAATCGGGGTGGTAGGGTGGCAGTCTTAGAACATCGTGGCCAGCATCATGAAGAATTTGATCTATGGCAAATCTTTTATAAGCTGGCTTATGCAATTTAATCAAATTGTAAAGTTCTGGTTTAAGCATTTCATCTGTAAAAAAAATATTCCTGTCACGAAGCCAGATCTTCATTTCAGCTTTAGCGTTTGAAGATGTTGGACTTTTGTATATCTGTTTATTGTGGTACGGCGCAGTATCGATACCAACCACACTTCTGGGAGGTAGATTTGGAATTAGTTTTTCTTTTAGCCACTTTTTATAATTATCAAATTCATTTCATTATGATAATCTCCTGTGCTACATGTAGATTTCCATCTTACGTACGCATTGGGTATAAATCAATTTTCACCGCCAGCATTGAGTATGATCAGCCTTTCTCCCTTTGACATTGGTTTCTTAATGCCGTCTGTGGAGTTATCTACCCAGCTTTTGGTATGTGTATGCGAAGAATGTATATACGTTTCGTCAGTATATATTACTGAGCGTCCTTGTTTTCTATATTTCGCCATAATCCTTAAAAAACAATCCGTAAATGGCGAATCTCTGCCTTTTCTATTAATAGTTTTCTATTGGATTCAAATTTCTTCCACCTGAATCCCAGTTTGTCTATTTCCTTGCGTAGTGTTTCTTTACACCCTTTGTAATTGGCAACTTCGCGTATTTTTCTGTGTATACAGCGCAAGGTAGGTATGCGCTTCTCTGTTATATGGTAGTTGATGATCGTTCTCCGTAACAGCCCTTGGTCAAAACCATCGAGAGCCACCTTAGTTTTGATGTTTGTTCTCTTTGGTTTTGGGAATGAAACTGCCACATGCTCTTTTATATTTCGCGCTTCTTTTTTTACACGCCTTATGGAAGACCGGCTCACCCCTGTTGCGGCAGAGACACGTTCTTGTACCTAGAATTTACAATAGTATTGCAAAAACGTATTAAACCGGATTTTACAGACCGAATGAACATAATTATGAAGGCCTTACTTTGTCTATAGGAATAGTCACTCGATCTGTTGCTTCCTTTTGCATGAATTCTAATACAGAGGCTATAATTTATCGACTTTTTTGACTCAGAACCTTGTTTCTAACTTTGCTATTCATCGCGAATCTGGCAGTATAACAACATACATGTACGCGCCTAAAATTTTTATTCGGACTGTACCCACGATGTGCCGTCGATCGCTGCTGCTTATGAAATGGTGCCCCCACTACTCAACCCGCCGTGTCTACCGCGCATCCAATTCTCATAACTCAATGCAGAATAGCCAAACAGGCAAGTACTGTTGGACCAGCGAAAGATTGCAAGCCGAAAGAATGCGGACAAAAAATTGCGAAGTTGTCAGATGTTCTACATAAAATGCGGTCCATACATATTAACATATTTAAGATATAGAATTGTTCCGCTGAATTTGGCAATGTAGCTGGAAAACCCAGGCCGCAGGTAAACATCCGGTCGCTGATTGGTCCAAAACTCTTATCTTATCTGAAACTAGAATAACGTGCCGATGGCACGGTCATTTATAAACCTACTCCCATAGGCGTAGGCAGTTGGCAAATACTTTGAAAATATAATTTACTGTTTAGTGGTGATAATGGAATTCAAGCATGGGAAAGTTATTCACAGCCAGGCAAGGGAAATAATAGCAAACGTGATACGTGCTTGCGATGCAGAAGCGGCTAACAATACTTTCGTTTATCCACTGGTAGCTAGAAATGCAAGGGCGGCATATTATACGGGTGTTAGTGAACGAACTATAAGTAAAATTAGAAAAGAAGATAAAGACAGGCAAAATGCAACCTCCACACAGCCTTTAGCTTCTCCCGGAAAAAAGAGATCACGCCCTTCTGTGATCCAAAAAATTGATGGAGTCGATTTTTCCATTATTCGGAGAATGATAGAAAAATTTTACTGTGATTTTAAAGTGGTACCTACTTGTAGTAAACTTCTAATCAAACTGAAGGAAGAAATGGAATTTCCATTTGGTAAAGAATCGTTGAGGCTGCTTTTAAAAGCAAAAGGATTTTACTGGCGTAAATGCCACAACAAAAGGAAATTACTAATGGAAAGACCCAGTATTTTACATTGGCGATACAAGTATCTTAGGTCTATTAAAAAGTTCCGGGAAGAAGGAAGGCATATTATTTATTTGGACGAAACTTGGGTTGATAATGACCTCACTTTCAAGAAATGCTGGCAAAGCGAAGAAATTATGGGTGTCCTGAGCAATATAAGTTCTACAGGTAATAAAGTTTCTTTCACCTCGATTTTGCTTATTATACATTTTTCTCAATTTTGGAATATTCTTAATAAGTGCTCATTTAATTTGTCTAATTGAATACATAATCCCTTGCAAGTATTTTTTTCTCAAAAATATGTTTTTTATACATAGTGATTCAAAAAGGTGTTGGCAAACTTAAAATAACACTAAAATGAGGCTATTTATTCATTTCCAGGACGACTTATAATTGTTCATGCGGGTTCGCAAGATGGTTTTGTTCCTGGAGCCTGTCTCATTTTCAAGGCTGGCTGTGCCACTGGTGATTATCACGGTCAAATGAACCAAGAAAATTTCACGAAGTGGCTTACTGAAAAACTATTTCCTAACATTCCTCCTAATAGTATTATAATAATGGATAATGCACCTTACCATTCAGCTTTGGAAGACAAGCCTCCAACTAGATCTTCTCTAAAAAGAGACATCATCACGTGGTTGAGCAAAAAAGGTATAGAGCATGATCCTAATGCTAAAAAAATGGAGCTTTATGAAATAGCTTGTCTACATAGGCCACCATCTGATGAGAAAAATTATAAGATAGATAATTTAATAAGAAGTTTCGGACACACCCCACTTCGAACGCCACCCTATATGTGTCAGTTTAATCCCATAGAGATGATTTGGGCACAAGTAAAATTTTTCATTAGAAGCCATAATACAAGCGGCGAATTTACTATAAAAAAACTAGATGAAATTTCTAATAAGGCCATCGCTTCAGTAAGTGCCAGTGACTGGCAAAAGGTTATTGGACATGTTATAAAAATTGAAGATGAATATTGGGAAAAAGACAGTCTCATTCAAGAAATACAGGAAGAAATAATAATCAACATAGGAGGTGAAAGTGATAGCAATGACAGTTCCTCAGACAGTGATCATGACTCTAATCAGGATTGAAACTATACTAGATTGGCTACCTTTTAGAATTTTTAGATATTCATTTATTATACTATTGGTTTGTGGCTTTTAGTATCTCAGTAGAAAGTCTAATTCTATGTGTTGTTTATGGGTTATTTCATCAAGAAATTACTTTTTGTTTTCCTATATTTTTCTATTCAGTCAGATATTTTTGACTTGTTGTATTCTATTTTAGAAGAATGCATAATTTGTTTTGCTGTTCAATCATAATGCGTACATAGGAATATTACTTGTTGCCTAAAAAATATATTTATTTTGTTCTCAATATTCAGTGTTTGTGTATATTTATTTCTTATAATGTATGTTTGGTATCACGTCATTATGAATCGCAAAAAAATATTAATACTACCAGTTGTAATAAAATATAAATTCAATTAATAATTCAAGTCTCTCCGATCTCCGCCTATGACTCCATATAAAATCGTCTAATGGTAAGGTTTTTTCATCGCATTTCCCCCTTTCGTCCCTAGCAATCTTTGGCTGGTCGATCAATATATAGGGCATTTTGAATGTTACTAATAATTAGGTGTTATTTGTTGTGCCGTTTTGACGTAATGAAGTATCGGAAAGGAAAGATTACATCTTCCTTAACCCGTAGCCACAGACGTGGAGTCAATTTGACTCCTTGCTAGTATGTGGAGGGGGATTTCCCGTTTTCTCCTCAGTCTATCTGCCCATGCCTAGAGGTACCTTTTCATCGAGTAGTGTTGAACTAGCACTGAGACAATTGCGTTGATTGTGTACGTTATTTACATTTCATTAAGACTTGAATTTCCGACGGAGTCAAAAGGACTACAGGTCTGTGATAATGTTATATTCTTATTTCTGTATTTCATGAACATGCTCGGCTTAGTTTAGGTTTTTAGGATGGATTTTGATAGCAAAGCTGGTCCCTCAAAAATAGTTAGATATGGCGATTCGGACTACGAAGAAACTTTGCTGAAATGGGCTGCTGAGGTGGATGAGGAAAATGAAAACGGCAGTGGTATTGATTCAGATGCCGAATTCATTTACAGTGATAATGAGAGCGTCCGTAACAAGAATGGACAGAGATTGCGAAAGACTTTCTACTGAAGAAGATGAGACATCGAACCGCGTTTCTACAAGAAACTATTTCTATGGAAAAAACCATTTCAAATGGTTTGCGTGGACTGTGCAAAATGAAAAAAATACTTTGGAAAACCTACTGCACGTTTCCAGAATATTACATTCACGTTAATTTCTAATCGTTATAAGTATTCTTTTTCATGTTTTTAACGAGTTTTGTATGAAAACTACCTAGCAAGTTCATTTTTTTATGTTAAAAAGTTACCAAAAATGTTATTGTAAATATTCACGAAAATTGTGTGCAATAAATACATTTCTTTAAAATCTGGTTGCTTTTTACTGAGGATTTTTTTTTTATTGAAAACGATATTAAAACAGACACTATTTAAGTGATATAACATAGAGGTAAACTTGTTTTTATTTTCCAAATATGTTTTCCATGGCCTTCATTATAGGAGTCATTTTGACGCCACGTCTGTGGTAATGTTCAATTTATTGGCCGTCTGTGGTTACGGGTTAATAACTACTTCAAAATAAAGAACAAAAATGCGTGTAATGCGATTTTTCCAAAGCCAGCTCATTAATAGGGTCTTTTGGAACATTCTATGATGTGGGTCAAGCCTGCATATGACGTCAATTCACAATCGCCCCAAACTACAATTTCACACCGCACAAATACCGAATACCGCATCGAAACAGCATCACACGTAGGCGTGAAACTCCCTTTAAACTACCCAACAGAGAAACCGCTGCGTTTATATCGACATATCGGTTTACTTGCATTGTTCAGAGCTTTGAAGGCATAAGTTTAGGACACACGTGTCTCCCTACTACTGATGTATTAAATTAATATTGTTGCTCTGTTATTCATGCTGTGCTTGATGAGAAACATAACATAATATCTCTGTTTTCTTGAAGTATTTTTTTAAACCGAAGCAGCCGCGAAGGCAGAAGCCTAAATATCGGGGTACAGAGACTTCTATAAGGAACTGAACGACACTTTGTTAATCCGATGTTTGAACTGCCGAAGGTTGAGTAAACAACAATTAGTCTACAGCACCAGCTGCCAACCAAGTTTCAGGATCGACTGTTAGAAGCAAATTGAATCTTACCAACCACTGTTTCACTATTCTTTCAAGCTGCTTCTTGACCCATCTGACGGCGTTCAAGTGAAAAGTGTGTCCTCTCTTTCAAGTTGTTGTTTACTAGACGTACTTGCAGTTATGGACGCCCTCATCCGAAAAAAATTATCCTGGTTACGGTGGTGAGCGCTCAAGAGGCGGCCTGGTGCAACTAGAAAGCGATTGAAGATACCTTGTCAATCCGGTTTGTTCACTTGAACGCCGCCAGATGGGCCACCAAGCAGCTCGAAAAAACAGGGGAGGAGTGCCGTGGGAAAAATTGCATGTTAGCTGCCTAAAGTAGTAGAAGTAAGCAAGCTGTTCCACAATCTCGACACTCTAGGGACGAATGAGTGGCCGTACCGGCCGGTTCCGGATGTATGAAGATCGACACGGTTAGGATGGGAATCCGAAGATAGGCGGATCTGTCTGGCTTATCGCGCCGGAGCATCATGGAGGAGAGATTTTAGAAGTAGAGCCCATTGAAATAACAGTAGAAGAGAACCAAATTGCCGACAGTCCCTCCAAAACTACATTGTAGCCCTAAACAAATAGCTTACCCTGTTCAAAGCAGCTGACGCGATTGACGAGATGTGCTCGGGCCGGAAGTGGTCCTCCGCGATCTGGACTCTGACCAGCCGAAATAACCGACTCTTTAATAGAATTCAGGCATCCATCAAAACTTAATGAGCTAGGGCGTTTCTTGCTACTGTCTTTTGGGAGCATCAAACTGTACAAGCAGCGATTCCATATAAAATACTAACATTACATACGTAGTTTGAGGAGAGAGCCATTATTGGGCGAGCACTTTTATAATCTGA